AAAAATGTCTCCTTTTATAGGCTAAAATTGGGAACTATTGAGTTATTGACTAATTATTGAGTGGCAATCCTTAGCTTCTATTGTCTGAATAAAACATCATTGATAACGTCAGAATTAGAATAGTAGTAGTAGTAGTAGTAGTAGTAGTAGTAGTAGTAGTAGTAGTAGTAGTAGTAGTAGTAGTAGTAGTAGTAGTAGTAGTAGTAGTAGTAGTAGTAGTAGTAGTAGTAGTAGTAGTAGTAGTAGTAGTAGTAGTAGTAGTAGTAGTAGTAGTAGTAGTAGTAGTAGTAGTAGTAGTAGTAATAATAATAATAATAAAGAAAGAGAAGAAGAAGAAGATGATGAGAACTTTGAGATGGAATATTAATGTAACGATTAAACAATGATAATAACAAATGTCAAGGTTAGAGGTTCCACTAATGGTATATCAAACAAGTATAGTATAAACTCTTATTATTGAATTGGAAACCACACACAAAGGAGGTTCCAATCAGATTATATATTGTTAACATGATTACATTAGTCATCTTATTCAATTAATGCTAATACTTGTAAATCTCGTCAAGCATTCATGATTATAACTTATGTTAACAACAAATCAAGTTCCTTTCATAGCTCAGGTGTCGGTTATACCATACATTATGGGCTATGAAAGTGCCAAGCATTTGTTGTACCAAGTGTTATACAACATAAATCAAGATTAGTCATTTAACAAGCAAAGTATTAAAGAGTGAACAAGATAGCAAATATAAAACATGTTAGTATCAAACATTAAAGTCCATATTAAGTTTACATTATACTTATTCTTACACCATTAGTGTAACCTTTTCACCTTGACATAATTAACTTAGCTAGACATAATGAAAGAAAGCAAAATAGATAAACAAAATAAGAACATAAAAGTTAACTAAGTAAAGGAAAGGAAATGAAAGGCATAAACTTAATATTAATGAAAACAAAGCATAAAAAATACAAAGAGAGAAAGGAAGAGCATGATCTTGATCTGAACACCAAGATGCCTAAATGCATGGCAAATGCCTCCTTTTATAGGCCAAAATTGGGAACTATTGATTTGATGACTAATTGATAAGTGGGTGACCAACTTTTGACTTGGTGACAATCCTTATCTTCTCTTGTCTGCCCAAAACGTCATTGATAACGTCAAAATTGGAGCCAGTTGTAAACATGAAAGTTGTAGGCAATTGTGTCAGCTTTCTTGTGTAAAAATTTCAGCTCATTTGGACTTCTAGAACTCCAGATATGGCCAAAATACCGAACAGTGCTCGGGCTGGAAGACAGATTCGGGCTTCTTTGTTGTTGCTACTATTTGGACTTGATAATGGCCTTTTTAGATCTTGGGCTCCATATGAAAGTTGTAGGCCTATGTCTTACCTTTCCATCCATATAAATTGGACCTAAATCTGAGATCTGTAGCTCCAGATATGACCCAATTACCGAACAGTGTTCCGGTTTGGATTGCACCGACATCTCTTTTCTAAGTTTGGCCATCTCTTTATCCTTGCAATTTAAGTTCTTCAAGTCATCAATCAATCCTTTCATTTATGTGATAGGCCTGCATTAAAAATAGACATTTACCACAAATTAAAGGTATCTTATATTATTAGATATATTATTATAAAACATGCTTTGGTTAAGGAGTTATTGATACTTCAAGTGCAAAATGATGATGTAAAACCATGATAAAAATGCACTTTTAAGTACTAATCACACCCCCCAACCAGCTTATTACTAGTCCCTAGTAATCAAAGCGTAAAATAGAAAAACAATTTGTATATTCCACAAAGCAAGGTATTCATCATTTAACTTCCATTAGTCTATCCAGATAAACAAACTCTCATTAAATTTATATATCTGCTCAATACCTCTTAACAAGATATTAATAAACCTTTCTTTTGTGCTCAATGTATCAACACATAATTATATGGCTTTTTTTGGAAGAAAATAAAATTTTTGTTCCAATGTTTAAGGTTAACTTCATTGAGATGATATTATTATCTTTTTATATATATATATATATATATATATATATATATACACACAGGTAACACAATGTACATATACTTTAAAAACATCATGCATCTTTAACCCATGTAACGAGCTTTCAGCTAATGACTCCCAGACCAGTTGGTCTTAGGGCATTAGGTGTTAAGACACCCCTACGAGCTTAGTAACTCGGGTCGCAGATACTGATATGTAGATAGTGCAATGTTTGATTCCCTTAAGCTTTTCTCCTCAACTCATGTAACAAGCGTTGGGCCAATAGCTCCCAAGTCAGTTGACTTTAGGGTATTAGGTGTTAAAACACCCCTTCGGGCTTAATTGCTTAGGTTAGGGAGGCTATGAAACCAAACATATCTATGTTTTTATTTATTTATTTACATTTATTATCATCTTTTTCTTTTTCTTTTTATAAATTATATACTATCCCTTTCCCTTAGTTGTTACCTTTAACAAAAGAACATAAATAATGTAATAATCCAATCTCCAACCCACAATCATATATTAAAGTATGTGATAGACTTTGTTACGAATATTACAAATAACCATTGAAAAATGTTTACCAAAATGCATCTTAAGAGTCAATAAAATTCCTCCTTACTCTGTCATCCTAATAACAGTTTTGTCAAATGGTTTATAAAATAAAAAACACAGTTAGTTATTTTTTTATATCAATTACTAACCTCTCCCTCTAACCAAAACAAGATA